CGCTTGGCTGTGTGTTCGCCAGTAAGTACTGGTTAACTACCCATTAGTTCCTGAGGCGTTCCTTAGTAGTTAATCAAATTTTGTGTACCTTATTGTAAAGTGTTACCGAAGAAATACATAAAGTAGTGGACTCAACCGTCTTTCACAACAACCCAGACCAACCCCATGTTTCAAACACCTCAAATCAGAACCGCATGACCTTCAGCTGAGGAACAGAAACAACTGAAAACACTCACCTGACGCAGAAACTGTCAAAACGCTAAGAGACGTTATGAGAACTAAAATCATGATGAACCTGAGCCTGAATCCTCCCCTTGCTCTGAGCAGCACTCTTATGACCACTGACTGAGTTTTTCAGGAATGCAGACAGCATGTTGAAATCTGCCTCCGAGGGGCAGAAAAAACCACCAGACCAGCATTAAAGCTGCAGAGCACAGAGACTGTTTTCCTTTTGAACTGAGCAGTAAATCCCACCGCTGGAACAGATGTTTCCACCCTCTGTAACAAAATCCTCTTTCTCACCATTCAGGCATTCGACAACTGTAAATATCCTTGGGGATCCTAAAACACGAAAAGTTTAGCCTGGTTTAATGTCAGACAGTGAGAAAAACATGGCTGTGTCTTTTTACACAGTGTATGTAAATATATGGTTAAAACTGTAAATATGCAACTTATCTTTAGTTACATTATGGATTTTAGCTAAGGGTATTTTGGGGTTCATTGGTCAAGAGGTTCATTAAAAAACACATGCTTGTTAGGCTGCCTCAGGTCCAGGCCTCATTAAAAAAATAAAAACAACGGATCTCTGGTTAAATACTGTATAACTAGAGAAATTGCATTTCCTGCGAAAACGCAGTGTGAATGCTTATTGCATAAGGACTTGCTGAGAAACAGCTGAAATTAGCTTAAAAAACATGCAGAAATGTAGCTGAAATGGAAGAACAATCCTAAATTAGCAGACAAAATCAGAAAGAATTTGCTAAAATAGGTTTAAATAGGCAGAAATGAGCATAAAAATTAGGAAATTAGCTAAAAAAAAGGCTGAAATTTAAAACAAATTGCTGAAAAGTAGCTGAAATACAGAAAGAATCTTAAGCTACCAGAAAGAAGCTGAAATGAGCTAAAAAATGTGGAATTAGCTGAAAAAGCCAAGATTAGCGTAAACCCAGCTAAATACTAGCTGAACTAGCAGGACTAGCTGAAATTAGTATAATTAAGCTGAAAGGTGCATAACAAGCTGAAATTAACCTAAATAAGTTAATTAGACTTAAAATAGCAGAAATTACAATGAAAAACTTGAATTTACCTGAAAACAGCTGAAATTGGCTAAAAAATGCTAAACAGAACAAGCTAAAATTAGCAGAAGAAAGCAGAAAGCACACATCTGTACCCATTTAGGCTGAAAGAAGCAAAAATGGCTCACAATAGTGTGAACGCTTCGTAAACATTCTCACGGTATAAAATGGTTGAACGGCTGCTCAGAAAGCCGGACAGGGGTGTGTAACTGGTAATGTGTTTTTATTTATAAAGAATTACAGTTTCTCCACGGTTTCTGGACTCGAGACTTTTTTTTTTGTTTGTTTGTTTTTTTAAACACACTACTTACAGGACGGGCAGCTGTGGCTGAGTGGTTAGAGCAGTCGTCCTCCAATGCAAGGGTTGGGGGTTCGAATCCACCAGCAGTCACATGCTGAAGTGTCCCTGTAAATGAACGAAGAGTTCTGGTTCCTGAAACCCGCTGGATTCCAGCTGCCAGGATGAACAGAAATCTGATGATTGATGAAACAATTAACTGATAATAAATGTAGAACCGGTCTCAGCTCTTGTCTATAAAGTATGAAGTGAGTCGTTTTTAGGATCTATTTTTAACAAAGAATTCAAATCTGATCAGGAGTGCTGATGTTTGAATCGATTAATAAATAAATCCTCAGAACTTGTCAAACATTAAAAATATTAACTCCTCTCTAAGATGTGACAGATTTACTTTAAACCTGCAGATTGTTCATCTGCCGAGTGAAGCAAGAATATCTGGGTTAGTCCCGACCATGATGGTACCTCCGCCGTGCTTTACAGATAGGTGAAGACTTGCTGTTTTTATTGTTATTTAACCTTTATTTATACAAGTTAGTCTCATTGAGTTACAGGGACTCATTTTCAAGAGAGACCTGTTTTAAACAAAGAAAACAGACGAGGCACAGACAACAATATACAACAATCAAAAGCAATTAAAAAAAAAAAGTGTTATAAAAACAATAAAATCAAAGTTCCATAAAAAACAAAGTAAAACACTAAAAACAATAACATATTTGCTCAGATATGTCAAATGACCTTATCAAATGTTTAAAATCTCTTAAATCAAAGTGAACAAATTCAGATCTTTAGGCGTTCCAGCTTACAGGAGCAGAGAAAGAAAAGGCCTTTTTGATGAGTTTAGTCCGTATTTTGGAGACGCTGCAGGTATTGCAGGCCTTAGAGTGCACGCTGTGACTGCACTGACGACGTGACATGTGGGAGGAGAAGGCAGCAGACCAGGGTTGAGGATGGCCTTGAATGTGCACAGCTGAATTTAAATTGAATTCTGAATTTGAGCAGAAGCCAGTGATGGAAACCAAATACAGCACATCACCACAAACCCATCATCCTCACTGTGAAGCATGGTAGTGGCATCATCATCTAAACTTAATATTTAATTTGCTAACTAAATATTTATCTCAGACCTAAATATTTATTTTCCAAGCTAAGCATTTAATTTCCAAAATAAATATTTAATTTGTTAACTAAATATTTAGTGTGGAACTAAATATTTAGCTTGCAAGTTAAGTATTTAGTTTGTAAACTAATTATTTAGCTTGCAAGTTAAGTATTTAGTTTGTAAACTAAATATTTAGCTTGTAAATGAATTATTGGGACTATGACATTTATAAATGTATGAATAACATGGTGGAAATATGACTTTGGAAAAAAAAACTTTTCTTTCTCATGAAAATAAACCAAAATATTGCTGTTAATTTCTGACTGTGTAACTTTACAAATGGCACTCCATATACAAGGGAAAAAAAAGTTTAACTTGAAACCCTAAACCCTATATACATACATATATATATATATATCCAGTTTCAAACAGTAAAAAGTACATTTTTCAAAGGTTTTAGTTACACTTGGGTTTAAACAGAAATCACAGCGCCCCCTGCTGGACAAAAAACACAAACATCTAAATTTACAAAATGAAAAATACATCATGAAGAAATGAAACATAAATACTTCATTTATATGGAGTTCTCTAACAACTTTCAAATTCAACTCCAGGATTTATGTTTTTCACTTTTTAACTCAAATATTAAAAGTAAATATATTTTTAAAAAATCGTTATTTTACATATTTAGGAAACCTGAAATTAAATCAGCAACAACAAAACACATATTCCACAGATGTAAAAAATATAAACAAATTGCTACCATTGGAAAAAAAAAAACATCCACTATATGACAGTATTAAAATATGCTCAAATAAAAAATAAACAATTGTTTATTTGTTTTAAAAATCTGGATAAAGCCTTGTGTTTATGATGATTTAATTTTAGTAGCAGGTTTTTCTTCAGTGGTCAGTCTCTTTAATCATCTTTGTTCTGATGGACTTGATCTGCGTCACTTGAAGCGTTGGTCTCATCAGGTCCTTGGTCTTCATGATCCACCAGCAGCTCGGTTGAAGTCACCGCTTTGGAGGGACCCCTCAGACTGAGACACCAAAAACAGGTTTTTCTGAAACTGTTAAAAATAAGACTGATCCATTCTTTAGGAACAGGTGTCATATTTTATCAAACACTCTTTGTTTCATTTCCATCACTTCCCAAGTTGCATAATAAATGTCATGATTCGGTCTAAGGCGGATTCTGACTCTTAGGTCTTTGTTCCTCATAAAGAAAATGATCTAACAAAATCTCAAATCCTCCTTCTGCCTTAAAAGTTTCAACTCTAAAAGAAAAATAAGCTAAATGATATCACATCAAGAACGATTACCGTATTTATCGGACTATAAGGCGCACTTAAAATCTGTTAATTTTCTCAATAAATCAACAGTGAGCCTTATAATCTGGTGCGCCTCATGTATTAATTCTGGTTGTACTGACCTCAAACTGATTTTATGTGGAACACGTCGCTCAAAAATCTGTCAAA